GGAATCATGTTTTACATGGGTATAAATGGTTCTGAAAGTGTTAAAACTTGGTTCAGTGCATTTAGCATTAGGCATTATAATGTTATCTTGAAGACGTTGAGCATAAAGTAGAATCTTACGGAGGCAAACCAAATGTTAGGCTCTGTCACAAGTCTTTGTAGTGATGAAGAGCCTGTGCTTAAACCTATAAATAGTTGGAGAGATGCGATAAACTGCATTTTATCTTTAAGACTCTTCTTGTTAGACTAGAAGATGATTCTCCCTGCGCACACTAGACCACATTTGACTGCTAAAGAACCTACACAGACACATTAGACTGCTAAACAACCCATACACTAACAAGATGGGTACAATAATAGACAGGTATTGAGTACAAAAACAGGAAAGTCACGCTGAGCATTTATGACATTCTGGTTAGGTTACAACTACAGTGTTGGATCCAGTTCTGCTCACTACACTTTAGGAAAGATGTGATTGTTCTTAAGAGGTTGCTTGGAGATTTGCTATAGTTTAATGTCTAATTTGAAAAAGAAACCTCTGTCAGTGCTGCAGTACTGAGTTTGAACTCTGGGTTCCTCCAATTCTAGGCACTTGTGCCATCCTCACCTTCTTCACCTTACTAATGCTGACCAAGTCTTTCACTTGTCTAGGCCACAAACCTAGAATTCCTCTTTAAACCTCTTCTCTCACAAATTTTCCTCCTTTACAACATTTTCTATAAGTTACTACTTTAAGAAGACATTTGGACACATATTTTAATGTCTTCTTCTTTGGCTTGGTGTCAATTATTCTATCTTAAAGTATCTTAGGATATTTTGCTACATTAAAGCTGCTATATCAATACATTTCCTGTTACTGTTCAAATATATTAAGTGAGCAGGTGTCAAGTACAGACTGGGGCAAGAGTTGTGCATGAATCACTGTAGTGCTAACTATCGACCAGTTAAATGGTCACTTATGACAATTTGGGAGCAGGTTGTCTGTTCATTCAACAGTTTCAAGACGTCAGGAAGGTGAAGGAGAAAGAAAACTCGCATCAAGAAAATTAATCAATGGAAAAAATCATTTTGACATAATGTATATAAAGGAAGTTTATTTGAATTAAAATGATTTCATTGCCTTTTCCTATCTTTTTTCTACAATGAAAGTATGTTAGCTTTATAATTCTAACCTATAAAAAATGAATAGTAAAATTTAGCAAGCATAAGATATTACTCAGGGAACCCACCATGCCTTTAGAGCCATCCACTCAGTGACATTCTATTCGTGTGACATCATTGCCTTTATTGCCAAAAATATAGCACTGCTCTCCATTCTGGACTACTTTAGATCCTGCTCGGAGATTTGCTGCCCAGACTGCAGTTGAAGATCGACAGTGAATGAACCAGGGCTATCTTCTCAGTGTTGGAGAGGCATTAATTGCTGCAACATTTAGATAATTTACCGCATAGGTAAAGTATACAGTGCATGTTTGTGAAGTAATATGGCAAGTAACAGGTATTGCTCTTACATATTTTGCAGGTCTTTCCAAAGTCTCGATTTTCTTCGGGAATTATTCACACCTTTAAATAATGAACTAAATAAGAATGAACTGAAGTTGGCATTGATGCAGTTAGTACAAGGAATTTAGTTTAGCACAAGACAGAAATCATTCAAACACATTTTTTGAATGGGAAGTATGAACCTCTCTTTCCTTTTACATTTTTAAGACTTAATTTATCAAGAACAAACAAGAATATCAATTAATTTTGAGTGCTAAAACACAAACAATACTCAACTAAACCTATTTGTAATATGAAGAAGTTTAGCTGCTAATTTACTTTTTTTAAGATGTCTAAGTTTTTCCAATTATATTATTTTCAGTCGATTGAAATGTTGCCGATAAAATCTCATAATCACTTTACATTCCCACTATAACTGATTATTAATTCTTTACCATTAACGTTTTTAAAACCATAACTTTTTTTAGCTTGCTAATAGAATATTGCAACCCAAGTATTGTTTTCCAATCAACACCTCATATTTTCTTTAATAGTATTTACTATTAAATAAAACAGAGAATTAGTTTGCACATAATTAAGGTACAAACTTTTGGACTTCATTAACAGCTAAGGATGCCCAGTATGCAAATGATCAAATCATTTCAAATCATTAAATACTGGGCACACCAAAAAGTATAAAGATTTTTGATGTTACTGTATTACAAAGAATATTTAATACTTTAAACAGAATTTGCTCAATGGAACAATTATTTTACATCTCATTCCAATATCTTACTGCAATAGAAATTTGAGATTTTGCACTTGAACATGCACTTGTATGTGGTTTCTTGAAATAATGCAAATTTTATCGATAAAGACTGAACACATCTACAATCCAAAACAGAAGAATAAATATGCTTTTAAAATTATTTAGGATTGTTACTTTTCACTTTACTAACCTTACTAAGAACTTAAGAATTTTTAAAGTAAATTGTCCAGTGATATTGGTGAAGAAGTTTCAATTTAGAAGCACTACGTCAATTAGTGTTAAAACTCAATGCATTTTTAGATCATGGCTAGCCAAATGTTTTAATATCTGTTTGTCACATATGTTGAAAGAAGTGGTGTTAGTTCCAAGCATAAATCAAACATCCATGTAACTTGATAGTATAGTGCTTCATTGTTGCAGATTGTAACTCCAGAAGTACACACAACTAATTAGACAGACAGTTGCTTGGATTTTTTGAAAAATGTTTTAGATGCAATGGATATGTTTTCAGTTTACCTCATTAAATTAATCTCTTAATAGTCTGAATGTAACTAATAATAATGAAAATTATTTTAACCTTAAACTTTGGTGCTGTCATTAGGTGACCATTGCCAAATATTATATTTAGATTTCAAATTAATATAACCATATTCATTGCACAGCTGTTAATTCCTATTTCATTTCTGTATTAACTACATCATGTATTTTTAAAATATGGTTTTCTGCTATTCAAGATGAGGAATGTCTGTGGTAGCAAATCAAGCAGCTTTAGCAAAATGGGAACTTAATGTTGATATTGAACACCCCATGTATGACATAGCACGAAGAGTTAATTACATCCTAGCAATGTGTGTCGACTTTCAATATTGGAAGATCAACCTGAACTGCGATTTTTATAAAAAATTCTTTCTACAATTTTGAGTCTTTTTAAGTTGCTGAGTAGAATTTTAGTTGTTATAATCCCAGACTAGACTGCCAAATTTATAATAGGGTCTGGCTAGGGTCCAGAAACATTTTCTTTCAAAAAAGATGAATTGTGAGATCCGAGATAATTAGTAAGAGAATAAAAGTTTCTATGGTTTCCAACAACAAAAATAAACATTACAATACAAAGTTAGGCAAAAAAAATCTACAATATTTAAATGCAAATAATATTCTAATTTCCATAATTAACAATATGTAGATGTGGGTTACATACAAACTGTGGATAAACACCTGAGACAGCATGAGAATTTCTCAGCAACTGTCTCAAACTGTGGGTCACCAAATCTTTTTCAACTTTGTCTCCTCTTCAAGGGATTCCAATTCTTCACTTTTGATCTCCTAGCTTTGGAGCTGTCTCAAATGCTGCTCTGTCATGGACTCCCTTAATGACCTGCTTGTGTCCTGATTGTCCACTCTTGCTTCTTGGGACTGCACACCTCTGGACTCTGAAAAATGCACTGCAGCAGCTATATATGGTGATAACTCCAGCTTGTCCATGGATTGCTAGCTTCACCAGCTGATACTGCCCTTTAATACTGCATTGCTGCACCAAGCAAAGTTTGCTTGTGTTATTCATTCACCCAACTCGCTGTTGCATTGAATTATATTAATTGCTCACGGGCTTCTCCTGAGCTCATCTGCTGGTTTCCCGGCTATTAAAGTGTCTTCTTGGACTTCTTCCTAAACTCCTCCATCCTCCACTAAACACAGCCTTCAGCTGCCTTCTCAGCAGCACAGCTAACAGTAACAGTTCTCCAGACACTTTGTTCCTTTCTATCTGACTCCTCATCCCACTATTATGTCTATTATGGCTGTCCCAAGTCCCATAGTCAAGTTTTCACACCATTCCCATTTCCATGGTCTTCCATCATCTTCCCGAAGACCTCATGGGTGGGCCCAATAAATGTTTAAATGGAATGCTGGGTGGAGCATGCATGATTCAGGACTCGCAGCTTTTATCAGTAATCTGTTTCTGTGCTGTATGACTCTATGATTATAGTCCTTGACCTTTGCCCCGAAAAAGGTAAGTTTGCCTTTCTTAACAGAGTTTATTCTCAGCTGTGGACATTTTTCTGCTATAGTCCTACATACACTGGGAGCTAGTTAAGGTCATTTCAGTTAGGCGTCTTGGAACCAACTAAAAAATGCGAGACTCCTATTTCATCTTGTGGGTTGGATTTGAATTGAGGTTTCAGAAATAAAAGGAAAGCATAATGAGGTACTACATCTTCTAGTCACTTTAAATTCACAGTTTCAATGTAAGGAGAAATTATACTTCATAAAATAAACAAAAGAACTGTGGATACTGGAAATCAGAAATAAAAACAAAATTGCTGGAGGAACCAAGCTTGTCTGGCAGCATCTGTGGAGAGAAAGCAGAGTTAACATTTCGGGTCTAGTGACCTTTCTTCAGAACTGGACCCACATCGTTAACTCTGCTTTCTCTCCACAGATTCTCCAGACCTGCTTAATTTATCCAGCAATTTCTGGGTTTATAAGACAGACCAAGAGCTGATGTGTTTCTGATGCCATTTTATTCCTTTTCAATGTTTGGATGTTGCAAGTTGTTTGAGGAGATCTACGAAAACAAAATTTAAACTAACAGGAAAGATCTGTGTAATTTTTTTATTTCAGACAACCAAAAGGTTTGAGGAGTGTGTTGGAGTAGAATTCAGTCTGCTGTTATTCTGAGACGTTGGCTCGTCTGAACTGATCTATTTCTGTGCAACTGGCTGCGCCATCCTGCTCCTTAAAACTCTACAGCAATGGATAAATCCACACAAGAGCTCTTCTTGAACTTTATGGTTGTTTTGATAACCGTGCTACTTATGTGGCTTCTCGTTAAATCCTATCAGGAGTGAGAGACTGTTGCCTATGTAAAAGTAGCTCCTACAATAAATTGTGCCAGTTTGTCATGACTTCTGTTGTTCGTTTGCTTTATCTCTAAGGAAGCTATCCAGTGGCTATAGTGTGAAGATGATTTAACTGTGCAATTGTTTGTTTGAATTCTGGTCCTTTGTATGTTACTCCTTTTGTAAATGCCCTATTTTGATCCTCTGCAGTTTATTTGAAAGGGCATGTGTCACTCTTTCATGATTCATGGGCGTGAACGTGATGGTGAAATTGCATGCAAACAGCAAAGCTACTTCACATTATCAGCTTTATAATTCTCCATACAACACAGCCATTAGGAGCAATGGGCTGCAACTCAGTAGATTCTGACCATCTTTATACTTGCTGAATCAACAAGATGGTAATGATGCTGCCCAAATATTATATTATATTATATTTTCAAGCAGTATTTTAAAACAACTCAAACAAAATAAGCAAACAATTCTACTTTTTTTTCAATTTGTTTCTCCTCTACTATTCCCTGCAATCTTGGTGTTACTCAACAGTGTAGTTTGGGCCCCTTTTGAGGTCTCTTCTCAATTTTCTGTTTTGAAATACAGAAATATGGGATGACGCATGCCCTTTATTACATATGGCCATCTGTTTTGATATTTACAGTACAATGTGATAGCAAACATGTGGCTTTGCTTATCAAATAGCACTTGCCACTAACTTTTCAAGTAAAAGTAATGATTAAAATGGTCAATGCAAATGTACTTACAAATAAATTACACTTCTAATCCAATTCTATATAATGAACATTTTGTTTTCTATGCTTTACTCTTTCCAGTCTTTAACATGCCCATTCTTGAAATGAATTACAGATTATCTTCTCTGTAGATATGTTCCATAAGATTGCTTGAATCACAAACTCATGGATAAAAATTATACTATATTGATTAAACAGTATTCATCCTTAGCCTTGTAGTCATGGATATCAAAAGTATATTCACGTGTTTTCAGTAGGCAAAAGGTTTCCTTATCTTATCATCTCATTTGTATTAAATACATATGTAAGCTATTTTCTAGTTACTATGACAACAAGGTGCAG